GTTTGGCATAACACGGCATATACTGACACTTCACAAAATGCCTAGGTTTGAAGATAAGAGAGCATTTGATTTACTTAGAAAGCTTTATATTTCGAAACTCCAGATACCTGGATTTCACGTTGTGTACCTATCCGTAAGTATTCTTACTACCCTTCACTATGAACATGTTGAAGAGTAGCGAGAAGCTGTACGAACCGCATTTTCCAGCTTTTGTATGATCCCTAATGATCCTCGGCGCTTTTCTTTGGAGTCATTTTTCTTTCTCCGAAGTTAACGAAAACCTTCCAAAGCTGTACTGAACATCTAACACAACGGTGCTAAGCATGTTGCTGATGAGAACAAATGAGTTTTTGAAAAGTCGAATTTTTCGGTAAACCTCACATTTCGACCTGTGGATCATCGAAAATTTCATGACTTCTAACATCATTTGTTCTTATCAGCAACATGCTTAGCACTGTCGGGTTAGATAATCTGCACAACTTTGGAGGTTATTCGTTAAATTCGGAGAAAGATGACTTTGAAGAAAGGCGCCGGGGATCATCAGGAATCATACAAAAGCTGGAAAATGCGGTTCGTACAGCTTCTCGCTCCTCTTCAACATGTTCATGATGAAGGGTAGCAGGAATACTTACGGATTGGTACACAACGTGAAATCCAGGTATCTGGAGTTTCGAAATATAAAGCCTTCTTTTGAGCTGCGATCCCCTCCCCGCGGGGATATTAGTGCATGCGGCCCTAAGGTGTGGACGCAGGTGGACGCATTATTCTGTCCTTCCAAGAGAACCGCTAGACAACTTTTGAGACATATGAAATGCTCTCACCAAAAAGATTTGAAACAAACATAACGAAACTATTCTAAACGTTCTGATTTTTATCTTGACATGGGACAGGGAGTAGCACCTAAGGGATTGGATATCTAGTCCATGACGAAGGCCGTCATCCAAATAAGCCGAGCGGATGGGAGGCTGGCGCGCGCGGGCAACTGCTAACCATGGAGCGCGATCATGCGCAGAAGAAGAGACATATAGGAGAAAGATCATTAGAGAATTGAATGCATGAGAAGAATTGAGGAAGAGAAGAAAGGGGCACAAGAAGGGGTGACGATGTACGCACTAATACAAGCATATTTATACTCTGGACGATGATTGCAGTCATGCATACAAATGATGACACATGTATACCGGGTGAATTTGCGAGCAGTCGCTTACCCCCGAGTGAAAGCGTTGAGAAGAGACCAAAATATATGAGACGGTCTTTAATGCAAGAAAAGCAGTCTTCCGATCTTGAGACGATCGGCCAGCTATTGCGTCACGCGCCCATGCATAAATTTTACCCGCGCACTGTTTGCGAGTTATCTCTAAGCTCAGGCTTTCTGGGTGACCGCCTTTGTCATGGATCAGATTTTATGAAAAATTTTTCAGGCTAAAGCACGTGTTTCATGTGTTTTTTCAAAGAGGTAAACTCTTATTTGTATCCGTTCCTTTTAATAGAAAATATAGTCCTTCAGTCTCTATTCTCATGAAAATTTTTGAGTCATGGTAAAATGCTAAGTGTGAGTAACAGCGGATCCTTATGAGCTGGAGTTATGAGCGTAAGAGTTATGAACGTTTTATTATTCGGAAGGCTGAACGCTTGATCAGAATCAAATCAGTGGTGGCAACATTCCATTTCATACATGGAAAAATGGTGAGCGCGGAAGTTGCAAGCAGGAAATTTTTTTTATAGAAAGACTTGACAGTCACCAACGTTCCATTTGAGCTCACGAGAGACTTCTATAAACGATTTTCTTCCCACAATGCGTTCCATTTTCGCTACGAAGGCTCTCATAAATTCTTGTCCGGAGAGGCTCCGCAAGGAAGGTGGTTTTGAAATCAGAGTTCGATGTACTTCATGAAAAGCACCCCTTCTTGCAAAGCCACTTCGTCCAAGCTTTCCTGGTAAGCAAAAAAGAACGCTTCATTTCCACTAACATTTAGTATCTAGTCAGTGTCATGGATACTACTATGATAGCCAGTGATGGATGAAGATGTAAAAATAACAGAGAAAGGATCATTTTTTAGAACGTTGCTCTTCTGTAATCATTAAAAAACCTGAGAAGTAGAGAACGTGTCTGTACAAGCAGAAGCTTCTATGACTCTATTGTGGGTTCCCACACTAGGCAAATCCCCAAGTTACGCCGCAAAAGATTGCTTCCGAAGCGAGATTTGCTTTGGAAGGAGCAAATCTGAAGCTGATTTTCACATAGCTGGTCGCCCCGCCCATTTTGCAGGCTTTCTTTCGCCTGCCCTTTGCAGAGGGTTCTCCAAAACGAGATTTTTGGGGGTTTCGCGGATCGACTCCGTATTCGAAGTCTTGGTCTCAGAAGGCCTGAAAGCGAACGTAGAGCTCGGAAATTTGGGCAGAGGTGCCTTTAAAAGGCTAATAAGTAGCTTACATTTGTTGGGCTGAAAGCTTCAATTGCATAAAGTGCCTTGACAGCTGTCAAGGCACTACCCTATTCGAGCTCCACCCTTGTCATACCCTAGTTGAGCTCGCTACACTTCTGAATGATCTTATCGTAGCCGCGCGTTCATATTTTTGCGTAAAAGATTCCTTTAACTCCCCTCCCAGATGCAATTTGCAGATGCCGAAAGCAGACTTGGAATCAGCGTTATGCTCTATAAGATAATATAACCTTTGATTCAACTGGCTTGGCTTCGAGAAGGCGGGTGTTGTGACGTAATTAAAACCGCTCGCTCCCGCTACGCACCTGCGTCTCCCTCGCGCGGTGCTCTCTGACCACTCGCTAGCCTTGACTAGGTCACAGAGCCCCGCCTTCTCGAAGCCAAGCAAGTTGAATAAAATATTATCTCATATGAAAACTCCACTTTCCACTTCGACCAAGTACCTTTCCATGTAAGGGATCTAAATGCCCAAAAAAAGAAAAATAATCGTTCTTCGTTCAAAAAGTTCCTACGGACGTAATACGCTCAAGCGTGTACTATCTACATAGGTTATCGGGCATTTGGATTTTTTGATTTTCGGATCCGAACTTTATGAAACAAACTTTGGTAAAATATTTAACCCTTTCGGACCTGAATTTTCACGACCTGGATTTTCTTCTGTAAAAAGAGAAGCCCCATTCCTATTTTTTACTTAAGCATATGAATAACATTACAACGGAGTTTGGAGTCATAGACTTCTTGACATCCATTTCAATTCCTTTTGGTTTTTTGTTTTTTCGCTTTTGCATTTATTTTTACCTTTTAATCTTCCCCAATACATGTGGACCGCCAAATTGTTAGTAACTACGCTTGCACAACAGCGTACTCGAAATTTTTGATAATTTTAGGGATTTTTTGCTAATGAGCAATTACTGACAGGTGCCGACGCCGGAGCAAATTATTGATTAGATGCAAGTCACTTGTTTACAGAAATGCTTGTTTTGCTGACAGGAAAAGAGACGCGAACGCGCTTTGAAGGCTATACTTGGAATAAAGACTATGTGAAAAGATCTGCAGCAATGAGCATCAAAACTATGATCTGCGTCAGTACAGCAGGTCTCTAATTTGGTGGTGGCAATTGCCACCATCAGGTCCGAAAGGGTTAAACACGGTCTTGTAGAGCTTGCTTTGTTTTGTCGAATGGTACCGCTGAATCTAATCAAAAACAAGAATAATATGAGTTATTGTGGTAGGGAGCAAAAACGGTTTAAAGTTATGAAACAACCTGATAGTAATTATATATAGTTTGAATGTGTCTACAATAGGAATTTCGAGGAGGTTTTGGGATATTTCGATTTTTCTGGACTAAATGCTTATTTTCCATATGTATTTCTTGATACAGGTGGCCGGTTGGCGCTCAACTTATACAGCTTAGCTTTATAATAGCTTATCTCTATGTCTATAAAGACAAAAATTGTCCGTATGAAGGGTATATGCGTCATAGAAACGCGCGCCGCTCAACAGATTGAGCTGAAACTTTGCACACATATGTTTTTGGACCCTTGCGCAGGTTATAAGCCACTTTTCGCTGCGATTCACCGAGCACCTCTATTGTATTGAATGGTTTACTGGCATCAAGCCAAATTAAGGTTTATCAAATCATTTGTGCGATTACGGTGAAATATGGCGGTACCTCCCATTCTGAGTTTCTGCAAGCATATTTAGTGTGAAGCGTACCTAAAGAGTCCCCGACATTGAGATCTATGCTATGTTGAGATGCGTAAGATGCCTCAAGTTCGTGAATCCGCGCTTTAGAGTCCAACTTAGTATAAATTGCATTAGATCCTCTGCTTTGAATGTGTTTTTAAATAGCGACTAGACTATGGCATTAAATCTAAAAGTCTTTTTCTGACAATCTTATATATAAAGCTGAATGTGTGTCTGTATGTTTGTATGTCAGTACGTATGTGCGGAATAGAAACTTTTACTTCTGAACCGATTTGGACCAAACTTGACACACATACACTTCGGGGAAGAGAGCGTGTCATAAGCTACTTTTCGCTATCGAACAGGGGGTAAGTGGGCATGCTGACTTCGAAAACAACACAGGGAACGGGAAATGAAGTGTAGAAGTGGGCACAGGGAAAGGCTGTACAGGGATACGGATGGGACTTTGTTACAGTGTTTTGACATGGTCGAGCGGAGCCGGGTAGGCAAGCTAGTCAGGTATAAGACACAACCGATTATTTGATTGTAAAAAGAAACGTTTTCAGATTGAGAAAATGCGAGAGAATTTTTGAAAATGTAAGTGCTATATTAGGATGAGAAACATTTGCGCTAGTACCACTCCCCATATAAATCAAAAATTCGGCTAACTTTTAGAGTTTTCGGAAGGTTTGTAATAGTACTCAAGAGAGCTAGATGTATTGCAAACAACACGGATAAGTACAGTACAGCTGACATTTCTCCACCTCAAAAACCTTTTAACTGTCAGTTATCATTTTGCATAACGTTTCAATGTTCTTATACACATAGTTCATTCTGGGAATGACGAGGACGGAAGGCTCTAAAAGCACCATCTCCAATTAAATGCACAAAATTGGCCGACTTTTGAGGGTTTTTTTTTTGGAAATTTCAAGATCATCCCTATAGAGCTAAATGCATTCCAAACAATACGAATAAATAGAGTTGAGCATTCTGACAAAATCGTAACTCAAGATTTTGGGCTGTCGCTCATGGTTTGCAAGGCGTTTTAACGCTCTCATACACAAGGCGAGGATCATCCTGGAAATGATGAGGACAGGAAGGACTCATGACCCATAAAGATATCCCAGGTGTGATAAGTTGGGCAATGAAGTTTGTAGGATAGATCAGGGTTGAGGACCTTCTTGTGATAGCGAACCTGAAGACATGAAAAATTGTATAACGTCATTTTCATCATCACCTTTGAGTTCTCTTATTATTTCTTTTTACACAAAATCAATGCTTGTGTCAGAAGGGTAAGCGCAGCGACTGGCACGAAGGTGGCAAATGTCGAGCTGGAAATCGTTTAGGTGGAAACACAATAGGGGCTCGTAAATACACGTTTGTACGCAAATACGCATCCCTTTGAAGTCACCATCCACTCAAAATGAGGGTTGTGAGATTTGGTTACGGTACAATAACGAGGCCCCCAACTACCCTAACTTCAGGAGTACAAGATGCACCTACTTTGCCTTTTCAAGCAAGCAGCTCTGTCGCACCACTATGCTTCGCGGAATGGTTGCTCTTTTAATGAGTAAGGAGAAACACAATATAGGGTCCGTTGATCCTGAAATTTTTTCGGTGTTTTTGCAGTGGTCGAGTGTAAAAAACTGAATAGTTTTGTACACAGTAATTGGGATAAGTGAACGCCTAAATTCCGCTGCACACACGCAAACACGCACACAGCATGCAAACACCTATGTTAGGGCGATGCGATGACCAACTTCCAGGGCAATTTTTTCATTTTAAATTCACCTGGTGCAGCGGAGCTTAAAAGCAGCGTACCACCAGACTGGGGGTACCTGGCTCTCGTAATGATGTAGTAGTAGACCCCCTACTTAAGCAATGACTGAAGTTTGGAGCGAAAAAGGGGGGGGGGTCTACCAAGCCTGAAATTTGCTCCGAAAGTGGCCCGAATCTTACGGTAGGATCGGGCGAGTGCGAGGTGCACGCAAAGTAGAGACGCAGAGTTGCTGCGGGTCCCTGCACTCATGATGTGTGCGCTATACGCACTCTGGCCCTGCAAATCGATATTGCCGTGTGAGCGGCGTTCGGCCCTACCGTAAGATTCGGCCCACTTTCGGAGCAAATCTCAGGCTTGGTAGACCCCCTTTTTCGCTCCGAACTTCAGTCATCGCTTAAGTAGGGGGTCTACTATCACATCATTACGAGAGCCAGATACCCCCAGTCTGGTGGGACGCTGGCTTTAAGCGTTTACTTATTGTTAGTTAGAGGGCCCGCTATAGTACAGTATCTATATTCTACTATCCTAATTCAAGTGAACGGTGTCTTTAACAAGTTGTGACCGACGGATCGACGTGAACAGGCACGATTTTGCTCAAGGCATCATTTCCAAAAAAAATTTTTTTTGCACAAAGTAGTAACAACTGCCAAGTTTATAATATATGCTTGTTTGTTCTTGTAAATGATCAAAAGTAATTGAAAAACTTAAGTGAATGAAAGGCATGCTCAAGCATTTTCTCCAAATCAAAGTGACAATCATAATGTCACCTCAAAAGTAGCAGAACACATCTATTTACATAATTTTCACCTATAAATTTTACTCAGATCTGTCGACACAAAATTTACTGTGTGTAGTGACATTTTGGTAAGACCATCCACTTCCCTTTGATAGGGTCCGAAATAGCAACGATGGTTATTTGAAGAACAAATTGAATAAGCTCCAACTGAACAACCTGCGCAGCTGGAGCGATTTAGTGAGAAAGCGTAGAAATTCAAAGTGGTAAAGGCGGATGCGTTTCACAGGTGTCCATTTGCCACCCCGAGTAGGCCGCTGGTATCTATCGCTAAATTTGAAAAGAAGCAAAGCATTTTAGTTTTACTCACATTTTCGAGAGATCTGTAAAATTGCAAATCCAACTTTTGGTCCATTTGACCCAGATGTGTTCGATTGAAGAGCAACTCGTGTACGCAGTCAATAAGTGCGTAATCAAAGGAAGGGAAAGGCTGCAATTATGTGTGATTACACCCAATAAGTTTTGAGAAACTCACTTTGTTAGCCACTAGACCCTTGATCGTAGACAGTCGTTGCAAATTCTCAACTCCAAATATACATATGCCATGTCTGTACCAAGGACATTGGAAATATTGCTTATGCCAACTCCAAAACGTAACTCTGAAAGGCTTCAAAAGTTGCAAATCAACCTGTAACCGTGCAACAGATTCACAGGAGGCAAGATTGTTGCAAAAATAGGAAGTCTATAGACGGAGAGATTCAAAAAGCCACGCGAAGTGTGTTTAATTAGTTTGAACTCATGTCCCACCCAACTTGAAACATTATTGGCTTATTTTTAAGTAAGCTCAAGCATAACTCTTCTACTTTTCTCTTCGGCTCGGATTCATATCGCTATGTTCGTAAGTTGAAGGCTTTTAATGTGGAGTGCTTCACATGATATTAGTTACTTTCGTAGACTGGGTAATATTGCCTGAGCGTGTAATGGTCAGTCTTACACTCCCGAAAACTTTTTGAATGCGAAATCCACAACCAAGCTTGCAAAGCTGGAAGGCTTGTTTTTGAAACCAAAAAAACGTGTTTAGAAAGTGAAAGCAAGCACAAAATAGCTCAATTTCTTTCAAAAGCTTTGGTAAAATGCATAGAAGATCAAAGTGTTTGGTAAGTACTGATGCTCGCAGTCATAATTAACATCTTATTATCGTGTACGTCAATTCTAGCCAGAACCATGAATTCGTATACGCTTCATCGGTCAGGCTAATGCTTCGGTGCCGTCACCTTTGTCGGATCTTCGGCCGTCTCCGCGGGGTACTGCCAACAAACACAACCGTTCAGAAATTTATCAATCGAGCTTGGAATGTCAATAACAGGGTGTATGTCAAGAAGCGCGATTTCTATTGCCAGATGGACACCAAAATGCACATAAAGTGTTTTATAACATTCTAGAAGTATTTAGATTTTAGAATGAGATACATTAGGTTGTTGCATGAGTTGTTCGATCTTGCTAACTTGGAATCAATTGAAACAGCAATTTTAAAGATCAAAAACCCATGAAATTGCATGGAACAAATTCGTAAATATTTCGGTCCATTTTCAGCAAAAGCCTTAAAACTCAGCAAATGATAACTTCAGACAGCTATAAGCCAATGCACTTCATTTCGTACTTCTTGAAGACTCGCATAGCACCAAGCTGGATTTCTGAGTTGGTGACAGCCGGGAAAAATCGCCCTTGACCGCCTCCCCAGTAACACTACCATCTGGGATAATTTTTGTACGCTAATAACTTATTCTCATATCTCACAATAAAGCTAAATGTGTGTGTATGTGTGTGTGTGTTTACGAATGCAACACCAGTGTTTAAAATCATCAATTACTTTTATCGATTCAATCAATTTTTTTGCGAAGTTCGAGCCGCGGGGCTGGAAGTGGCACGGGGGGGGGGGGGGAGGAGGAGAGGGGTATGTGAGCATGACGATTACGAATATAGTATTGACAGGGCCGGACGGAGCCAGGTTTGCCAGCTAATTGAGTTACAAAACGTCTTCGAATAGAGGAATTTTCTTTAAACGCTGTGACTCTAAGTAAGGTGTCTTTTTGAGATTCAGTAAATGATATTTCAAGTACAAACGACTGTGATGCATGAATCCATCGCAGATTAATCGAAGCCGGCATTGTTTAAAAAAAGAGATTATCTTTGAACTTGCCCGTTTGTGCAAGATTTATCAAGGGTTGAAGATCTGGTACAAGATGTCCCAAAATTATATACCACTTTTCAACCGTCATTAGCTCTCTTTCCACGGACTTTTTTGCTTAGCTTCAGGTACCAATCAGTAAAGCAGACTTTAACTTAGGTCCACAGTATGAAGCGGATCACTTAGCGCTCTTCGTCAACGTAGGATTAGGTTAGGGACACGAAAAGGGTTAAAAGGGTTTTACTCCACAGTCTAGAAACTTTACCACTAAGCTAAACTGAGTCTTTAATCATAATTATGAAGCTCGCAATTTATCCTAAGAAATTTTTATGAATCATGCCATGAAACCGCAATAACGTTTTCTAGCGTTTCTCAAAAATGTGATTTAATTCTCTGAAACGCTTTATTCAAATAATCGCAGGGGCAGGCAGACCGCAAACTCGCGCTTTTCTGCAGGCGGTCAGCAGAATGAAGAGTGGCCAAACCTTCAGCGGGTGGAGCTTCCTTTACTGTCGCATATTCTGCCAGCGGGCAGCAATACTGCATTTTCTGCAGGCGCTCGTCGAATCATTTCTTTTAGCGAGCGCTGGACAAATTTTCAACGATCGCTCTGACTCTTGTTACGCAGTTTCGGGCGTACGCCAAGCAGAGGTAACACTCTATATGGCAGAGGTGTCATCGTTGGCTTGATCACCCGAGTTTGAGGTACTTTGTCTCAGGGAAGATACCTACGGGCTGTGCGGTCCTTCGCAAAGAACCGCGCGGCCCTCAATAATTTTGCGTATTCTCGCAAAAGATCCGCGAGAGTGCGGCCGCTGCGCCGCAATTAATCTATGAAAAAGGCGCAATCGTTCTCCAAGCATTCGTCAAAAATTTCGCCAAAATTCTTCCAAAAATCTGCAAGCGGACCGCAAAAATCAGCGAACTATTTTTCTGGTGCCCTCCTGCCCATGAATCGCATGGCTGCCTGCCCCCGGCGATTATCTGAGTAATAACTCGTAAAAGGTCGTGTGATGACATCTGCATGTCTGAAAATATTAAAACACAATTTTCCAAATTTTTAATGCTTTTTTGAACGACATATTTCACAGTGAATGCTGGAAATCTACCGCGATCGATCCTAATGAAGGAGCGATGGGTTATTTGCTCCATACTGTAAAACTAAGTTAAGCCTGCTCTAGTGATTGGTACTTGAAGCTAAGCAAAAGACTCTGAGGAAAAGAGTATTAACGATTGATAAGTGCTTTTGAGACGTTCTGCTTAAAGCCCTGGTGCTGGTTGAGAATAGCATCTTGCACCTAGCATTACGCCTTAGCCAACCCTGCAGGACCGATGTCAGCTATGAAATAGAAACAACTTCGTGATAAGTTTGATCTGAGTCTTAAACGACGCACAGGATCCTGTGGTAGTTGCATGTAATTGTGGTAATGAAGAAGGACATATCCGCATGATTTGCCCAGAAACTTTGTGTTAAGAAGGAAGTTCGGCAGTTTTTAGAAAAATTTTTCTTTATGGGTGCAGATCGACTAGATTCTGACATCAAAAAAAAAATCAAAGGCATGTTTCATGTGAATACGTTGCCGCAAATAAAATTCCGCCGAGAGCTATTACAACCTAAATGCACAGGCAGTTACTTGCAAACGCTATCTTTACCTGAATTTTGATGAATGAGAAAACACTACGAATCTTGAGGAAAGGAAGGTCCAGCGCACCTAGTGATGCAAGGCACATATGTCTTGTTGCTGATGCACTTTCCGGTAAATCTTCCTGGCATTTGCAGATCGTCGCTCATTTGTAAGACAGCCCAAAGCGTCTCATCTACGGCATATGCCTAAATATTGAGAGGAAATCCCAAAAATTATCACTAATCATGATGTACAGCAGCTTCACTGAATTTCTTCACTATCGTATAGGAATTGACAATTCATAAAGCTCATAGAGTTCATAAACACATCTCCTTTTTAGAGGAGTGCTAAACGAATACTGAATCCACGTGATCAGTTTGCAAAATTGAAAAAATGATTATAGAAAAGGTTTGCGCTCGGCGATAGTAGTTGTAGCTTTCCCGAATTTATTGGAGCACGAGCTTCTTTTCCCGATCTAGCCCGGGTCACGTCTTCAGCTGATCCTTGCCCCCCCCCCCCCTCACCTTCCCACCTAGCCATTACGCTGTGCTGCAAAGGGTCTCTGTATCAAAGTATCACCCCGCTGTACGCTCGTCTTAAATCACCGTATGCTTTTTACCGCAAAAATCGAATGAACTACTGGCATTTTTTACACGAAATCATGAAGATGACATGTTAACGGATGCTGTGAACTTACTCTCATGCCAAAAATTGATAAATCAAAGAAGGGCCCAACGATTCGAATCGAACCCTAAACATCCGCCGTGGTCGAATACATGTGCGTGCAGTTTCAGCTAAATCGTCAGATGCAAGCGTTTCTATAACGAACGAACTAAACGAAACACAAAGTTTGAGTTATATAGATTCAAAACCAACTTTGGGTCATTCATAGCAAAAATAGCAATTGCCCAAAAATGGGTGAGGGCAAAAAGTTGCATATGTTGTGCAACGTTGTGTATGTGAGTGTGAAGTTGTTAGCGAATGCGAATGTGATGCAACGTCTTGGGCAAGAAACTTGAAACGCCTTTCAAACACAGACACTGAACTGCTTGGAAAACAGAAGAACTGTGGAATCGCACCACTTCTATTCAGGCGATTCTATGCAAAGCCCGGTATTGCTTTGTTAGGTTGTTTCATAAGTTTTTTTTCAATCTTGACTTTCTGAAGCATAAGACACATATTTCTCACTTCTGATCCAGGGTACCGTTCGATAGAGCAAAGCAAACTCTATAGGGCGGCATCTACGTAACTGCATTGCACACCACGAGTTAGAAGCCGAAATCTGAGAAATTCTCGATTCTAAAAAAATTGAAAATTTTCTATAACTTTGCCCGAAGAAAACTTAAGAGATCCCAAACTCGCTCACGCATATGCACCCCGCACAATATAGTCATATGTGCCGTTGCTGTGTTCTTCTGTGCTAGAAACAGAGAAAACTAAAGTTTTCAAGCTTTCAAAAAAGCGGTGCAGCGCCGTTTTTACATTGGTGAATGTATACTGCAGGCTTTTAGTACAGTCACAGATTTCCAGCTTTCCACCAGCTTCCCATGAGCGCTTTCAACGTCTTATGTTTTGCGGAGTTAGAATGAGCCAAATATAAAATTTGGTCACTTCAAAAAATATATTTTAGTAATTCTATAAAGCGTGCCAGAGAGGTGCGAAAAATTGCATTTTGAAAAAGATTCGCCTTACCAGATGGTTATTAGAGCACCTTCAAAAGTTAAAAATGAAATTTTTGAAAATTAGGGAAAGTTAGGCATGGTAAAAATGAAGTGCTCTAGTTTTCGGCAATTATCTCAGCGCTCGTCGAAACAGTCACAACGGAAGCATAGCTGCTGGAAAGAGGAAAAAGTTCTGCATCGGGAAAGTGTTTGAACGATTTGTCTATCATCATTCTGAACGATTTTGAAGTAGGTCTAAAAAACGGCACAAACTTCGGGCTAAATGCAAAAACACATACACACATCCAAGCCTTGTTGTGTTCCTACGTTATTCGAGTGCGTGAACAGAATCAGCACTGCATTAATGGATGGCTCCATCAATGCAGTGCTTACTTCATCGAAGATAAAGGGGATGCAGAAGGCTGTCTCTCGACTGCTGACTGTTCGTTTACTACAGGATAAGCAATATGTAAGACACAATTAAGGTTTAGTTATCATTATAGTTTGCATTCTGTCTGCAGAGTTCAGGACATCTGCTTGATCGGAATTTAATTATGCAACCAATTTCACACGCATAGAATTTATCTCAAGTTCTTCAAAGTCTGCTTGAATTTGCGTGTAACTGCCTTCAGACCCAGCTGGATGGCTCCACCACTTCAAATCTCGCACATTTGCATTATGCTTCAAAAGCAAGATTTTAAACCTTAGTAACGCAATCTCAGAAACAACACAATTTAAAAATTTGATGTCAAAGATTCAATAAAAATTCACAAAAGATCGCTTCGAGCAAACCAAGGAGTGTCATTTTGATATAAAGTAGAGGGTGTTATTGAGCAGAAAGCTTGCATTCTTTTACAATGATTTGAGAAGAGCATTGCAGAGTTGAAGAAGTTTACTTCAGAGCGAAATTATGTACAATTGTGAATTTTTCTACTGACTTGCTGCATAAGTTTTGCCTGTTTTTTGTTACGTTGTGTTCTAAACTCCTGTCCCAAAAGAATTTATCCTTTGACGCGATAGTGTTTGCATTGTTAGAAGCTTTTCTTGCTTTTTGACATACTGAATTACTCAAATCTTCAGCCCAACAAGATTGCAGGCTCAAAATATTAGGTGACCGAAATACGTTTTTATCTAGAAATTTTTTTTGTAAAAAAATTTGCGCAATACGCAAAGTCATTTACTCTTGTATATAATTGGTCGTCTCGAAAATTCTGTCGCTTCACAATTGAAATTTTGTGACCTTGCGCTATTTCAACAATTTTGCATCTTCTTATTAGAAAAGTAAGTCTTTCGCTTTCGAAAGCTGTCCTAGCGAGCTTCTACTAAACACTGCTGAGATAAAAATGGGGAAAGAAACCTTGCAAGCTTTGATTATCTTAAATTAGGTCGCGAAAAATCTGCAGAAAAATTTTGTAAATTCGTTGATACAAGGGTGACAAATCAATTAATTTCAGCGTTTTGTAGTAAATTCGGAATTTGTAACTTCTCCCAGACAAACTTTTTACGGTTGAAATCAGAAAACTTTACCGGCAATTTCAGTTTTTTTGCAACGTTCTAGATTTTTGGCGCCTAACTTAAAATGATCAAAGCTTGTATGTTCTTCTTTCTCCAACTTTATCTTCGCAGTCAGCGTGTAATAGAAGCTCGCTAAGACAGTTTTCGAAACGAAGAACTTTTTCTTCCAAATATTTACAAGGATGCAAATCCGTTGTAAATTGCAAAGCGCGAAGCGCGAAGTTGTAAATTTGCAGAATTTAAACGACAGAACTTTCGGAACAATCTTTTATATAAAGCTGAATGTCTATTTGTATGTCTGTCTGTCTGTCTGTATGTATGTATGTATGCATGTATGTGTGTATGTATGTTCCGAATAGAAAATTCCATTTCTGAACCGATCCGGACCAAACTTGGCACACATACACTTCGGGCCCCGGCGGGTGTCATAGGCTACTTTTCGTCATCGATCGATATCGATTTTATCGATTTTTATCGATTTTTTTGCTGAGTTCACCTACGGGGCTGGGAGTTGGCACAGGGGGGTAATCGAGCATGGGGATTCCGAATACAATATTGGTTTTCAGGATTATCGCTTACTTTTATCGATTTTATCGATTTTTTGCAAAGTTTGAGCTACGGGGCTGGGAGTTCGCACAGGGGGGTAATCGAGCATGGGGATTCCGAATACAATATTGGTTTTCAGGATTATCGATTACTTTTATCGATTTTATCGATTTTTTGCAAAGTTTGAGCTACGGGGCTGGGAGTTCGCACAGGGGGGTAATCTAGCATGGGGATTCCGAATACAATATTGGTTTTCGGGATTATCGATTACTTTTATCGATTTTATCGATTTTTTGAAAATTTGAGCTAGGGGGCTGGGAGTTGGCACAGGGGGGTAATCGAGCATGCTGATCATCCCCAAGGGGGGTGATCAACATGCTCGATTACACCCAGGGCCCGGCACCAATGGTTTGGGGTCAAACTGGACTTCGTTTTTGGAGTTAGAAGCAACGGGGACATCGTTTTTATGAGGTCCTGGAGGAAGCGCCAAAAAAATACGACGAACATATCAGGTTCCACGAGTTGAACGTGTTCTTTCGCAAGCGCGCGAATTTCAAATGCAAGACTCAAACAAACAAATGGTTTGTTTACAGCGCACAAACAATCACATGGCTCCGAATTTGGGCTATGAGTATACAATATTACTCCAAACTATGTTATGTAAAAAGTTCCCAAAACTTATGTGTCTGAATGCCCGTTCCGGATTTGTTGGTTTCTAGACCAACCACCGAACCAACTGAGTTGGTTCGGAGCATAAATTTCGGAGAGTTCACATAAGTTTTGGACCTTTTTGATTTGGACGATTAAAACGCTCAAAAATCCATTATATAGTGAAGAGAGCGAATCAAACCATTGCCTCTCCTCTCTTCTTTTGAGCCAAAAGTAGTGCAGTTCTGCGCGTTGATAGATATCACGCTCCAATCACATGCAATGTCCTTTGAACTATGTGGCGAAAAATGCATCGCCGGGTTGTTGAGGCCACAGATTTGGTTGGCCTAGGAGGTTTTCGATTTCCGAGCACTAAAATGGTGCTATACCCAATGGCAGAGCCTTTAATCTACTCGAAATGTATTCTTTTTGCTTTTTTGTTATACTATATAACTCAAAATGCGCTTTTTTCCCTTTTTTATTGTTATTTTGGTTGAATAAGGATTTCCCTATTGATTTTTACGTCGAGAGGGACTTCGTAAATTTTCGAAAAGTCATGGGGGACTTCGTTTCCAAAAAAGCTCCAAACCAACGCGTGCCGGGCCCTGATTACACCCCTGTGCCAAATTCCAGCCCCTAGCTCAAATTTTCAAAAAATCGATAAAATCGATAAAAGTAATGGACGATCTTGAAAACCAATATTGTATTCGTAATCTGCATGCTCGATTACCCCCTGTGCAAACTCCCAGCCCCGCAGGTCAAACTTTACAAAAAAATCGATAAAATCGATAAAAGTAATGGACGATCCTGAAAACTAATATTGTGTTCGTAATCAGCATGCTCGATTACCCCCTGTGCAAAATCCCAGCCTCGCATGTCAAAATTTACAAAAAATCGATAAAATCAATAAAAGTAATCGATAATTCTGAAAACTAATACTGTATTCGGAATCCCCATGCTCACTTCCCCCCCCCTGTGCCAACTCCTAGCCCTGTAGGTGAACTCTGCAAAAAAATCGATAAAAATCGGTAAAATCGACATCGATCTATAACGAAAGTGGACTGCGACACCCGCCGGGGCCCGAAGTGTATGTGTGCCAAGTTTGGTCCGGATACGGCGGAGCCGGATAAGCCAGCTAGTCAGATATATTGTCGAAAACAAATTTTCATGAATGATCTGCAAGCAATGACTTTCTGTGACCAGAGACAATTGATAACAATCTTTGAAGGTGCCAAGGTAAAGTAAGAGTTAGTAGGGATTTTTCACCAATTACTTTCCAAAGCTCGTAGCAAGTATAAATCTTCAAAACTGAAAATATGCATATATGCGGGAATGAAGAGGGTTAAAAACAGCTTTTTTATTTGGTCAAAAAAATTACGGGATCAAAAACACTATGAACACTTTTGCTTATGGCTTTGTCTATCAAAGGCTATTCAGTATGCCTGTCGGTTTTTATGAGAAAACATTGCCATGCAAAAAAAAACAGTTTTGACAAAACATTGTGTAGCTTATGAGTCCTTGCTTTTCTATAGCCAAAAATTGCTTGCTCCACAGAAACTGGGATTATTGAGAAGAGTGTTTTTGAAAAGCATAATAATTTGACGACTGCGATTAATATGCGTTCTGTAAACTTGCCAAGATATTGAACTCTTTACCAGCAAGTTAAACACTTTAAGTTGCTTGACAACGTGTACAGTGTGTTTTCCGAGCCGATAATTCCTGTTTGTGTGTCTGAGAACATAAAGGAAGCTCACATTGGTGTTCAGCTGATTGATGAGCGTGGTTAAGTCTACGGTATTGACAGCCCATTCAACAGCAGCTCGGCTTAGTGAGCATTGCACCAGTCCTCGAACAATTGTCAAATTGGTTGCTAGTTGCGTCGGCGTCGCTTGTGATTCTAAGGAATTCTGTTGAAAAAAAAACTATGTGATGGTATAACAAGGCTACCATTACGAAACAGCTTCAATGAACTCGCATACCACTTTGCAGAATGATTCCATCTACTCGGTTCGCACTGCCTTACACAAATGTCATTAGCCCCATCAAACTCCTTCAATATCGTCACTGTCTCGTACACAGTTTTAATCATCATGTCGTGATTCTAAATTCTTGCCCGAATTTTCAACCATCAAAAGTACTCATAAGTAAAAACCAACCTGAAGTAATAAGACGTATTGCCAGCCTTTATGCTTAGAAAGTAGTTTGAGGCAGTCATAATGAGCTTGGTTCATATTGTAACCAGCGTTATTGACTCCATAACGCACTAAATGATTATGAAGAAAAACGCATCAGTTGTGCTATAGCCAACTCTTATGAGTACGAGCGAACCTTTAGCAAAAAAAAATATTTGTTTTCAGAATTGTTGACCCTCATTCTAAACCACTGCTTTCAATTCTTTCACTGTCGAAAACTGCCATTCGTTTACGTTTCATATGCGAAGCAAAGCAGCTTGGAAAAAAATGGCCTTGATATGGCAATGAAGGACATAGAAGCTAAGAATCTCAAACGGATTACTTGCGTTGACGCCTGAGTTGAGGCAGCTAAAAAAGAAAATCATGTATCCGGACTCCTAAGGCTGCGTTCATACTGACCCCGAAGTCCTAGAACAATCCCAGCACAACATTCAGTTCGAGCGTTGTGATGGAACTGTTCCCGAATTTCTGGATCAGTATGAACGCAGCCTAAACTACCTTTGAGGCAGATGTCCATGTAAATGGACCAAATATTCACCACTTATTATTTAGAGGCAGCCACCCCAAAAACTAACCTAAGTACACCCCCATGATACGCGATATTTAAGTAAGATTGCAGTGTAGTGTTGGTCCGGTCTCCTTATATCGTCTCCAGGAGGAGAAAGCGGACCTGCATGTCGCTGGATTCTCCGGCACTCCCCCCCCCCCCTTTCCGGCGCTCTACCCACTCACGGATCGCCCGGTGACGCGTTCTGACATGGCAAGCAATGCTAAGACACATACTACGTGATGTGGCACTGTTGCATACGACAAAGCTTACTGTTGCATACGACGTGACTAGTACAGGAACACTCGTCCACGTTTTCAAAAATAGTGCTTCAAAAAGGGCAATTTTGGAGCTTTCCCGTAATTTGCACCTTATATCCGAAATCAGTGTGAAGGCCCGCTGAAATAAAAACGTTATAGTCGAAATTTTGGGTGGACGCTGCCTTCGAAGCTTGAGATTCTCGAGCAATTGCGCACAATCACGTCAGTTGTGCAGCAAGTGCTCGTGTGTTGAGAATGTTTGAACCCTGTGTTGAGAGTATGAACCCAAGTACAAAGTGCACAAAATTCCCATTTCCCCTTTGAAAAAGCTTGCTGCATTTGCTATCAGTTCTGAAACAATGTTTTGACATTCAATGCTGGAACGTACTTGGTGCTAGCAACACATTGGGGAGACAAATCGAAAGCGCAAAAATCTTCGAGTAGAACTCATTTTTCTGTTTTGCGTCCACCGAAAAACAGAAGATGTTTTGTGAATGACAGCTGGATCTGACTTCGTCCTCAATGAATTCGTAGTCCTAAAATAATTTGCTTTTGTTTAAGTCAAGTAAAGTATAATTTTATGTTTTTTGCTGCGTGCTGACTGCCATTGTCTTTTTTGTAAATGTTTTATGTAATCCCTGAATTAGCAAGGCCCTTTGTCAAAAAAATGGAATTACCCTTTGATTCGACTAGCTTGACGTCTGGAAGGCGAGGCTTTGTGACCCAATTAAGGCTGGATAGTGATCGGAAAGGACACGGGCGGGAGAGACACAGACTGCATCGCGGGCGAGAGAGGCATTAATTAGGCCGCTCGCCCGCGACGCAGTCTTCATCAAATCACAAACCCCCTCATTCCAGCTGCCAAGCCTGTTGAATCGAAGTTTAGCTTGGAATTGTGACCAGTCAAGCAATAGGTTGCTCATAGTTCTAGCCACGCTCAAAACAACCACATCACTTCCGTCAACAAACTGCTGGTCTCAAGATTGGTAAGTATTAAACATTGTTAAGTATCAAAAAGCAATTTTGCATAATACACGGTACCAGCACATAGGACCAGCAGCCTCAAGATAGGCAATCCTTAATATGAATTCTTCAAAAATTGCGCGTCAGACAAATTCAAGCGCATTTGGTCCGCAAAACTGGATCACTATCTATTTTGCAATATCTTGCAGACAGCTTGCAGACAGGTGGTTTATGTGTGTACCACGTGTCTGCAAGCTTCGTCTTTAGCCAGAGAAAGGAATTGAAAAATCTATTGTAAACATAGATGCGATAGGGGAGCCGGGCTCTCCCCAGGTAAAGGGGGTCTCGGCTGTTTCCGACCTTCCAGGGTGAAGGGGGTATGTGAGCCTAGGGTGGGGGACGGGAGGAAGAGAGAAGAGGTAAAAAGCGTGGTATGAAGAGCTCTAATTCGTACCTTATTTAAGTACAAAATGAAAAAAATTTTTTTAGAATTAAAAAATAAATTAAAATATTGACTTTATGAAGATCTGTGCTCTTATTCCATTGCATCAACAAAAAACGAAAGCAATAAGGTTTATCCCAAAAGATGTACAAGTTAAAAACACTTATAATTCCTGCACGTTATCATCAACAATATCACTATCGCTAACGTCAGAGACAACAAGTTCGCTGCCTGAAAGATCTTCTTCTTCCTTCAAAAGATCATCGGAGTAGAATTGCGTCAAAAAGCGTTCTAAGTCGAAAATGGATTTGAAAGGTTCTTCTTCTTCTAAGCGCTTTTGTGTTTTTTCCTGGCCCCCTGGTAGCACAAGGAAGTCAGCAGGTAGGTGACCAGTCTCTTCATACCATCTTTTAAGATATTTCAAAAACTCATACAATGACAGCCTGTCTGGACCACTTACAGCAATCCTTTGGATGATGTTTTTAGATAAAAATATGTTTAGTAGAAGGTCGACAAATCTTAAGTAATTGCTTAGATGCTCCACCGTTGCACGAGTTCTGCGTTGCGTTCTGATAACAGAGTAGATAGAGAATCCCCTCTCCACCTCTGCCGTGCTAGTCAGAATGGGATAGCTTTGCTAGTAAGTCCATCAGATTTTTGCGGTAAGTAATGGGGAAACAGCCAGATCGCATACGCTTCCGCAACACGGGAAGGAAATATTGCATACTTTTTTGGGCCTTGTCGAACTCTGGCTTTACTTCCTCTGGCATACGTCTTGTTAGCTGATGAGAAAGCTGCTCAACTTCTTCTTCAACAGCATCTGCGGAATAGCCGAAAAAAGTAGATACTATGCTGCGCGTTGGTTTTTTTTCAATATCATAGGTCATAATATCACAAGGCGAGATACTTCCAGCAGCATACAGCACAGATTTAAGTTCGTACTCCAGTCGGGATCTAAGAGCAGTAGAGCTATGCTTTGTACTAACACTTTCCTTTTGTTCATATCCATGTTCGTGAATTTAGTAGCCTTGAAATCTTCAGCAACCTGAAGATCGGCAACGGTCTTCTTGGACAATTCCTCATTGAAACTAGGCAATCTGCTTGGATTTCTGATGTACGAAATAGAGAGTTTCGCTCAACTATCAACTGTGTATCAATGTCCGACAACATTTTCGTCGGCGTAAGATTCTCCTTCTGCCTCGCCGTTGAACTGGAACACATGCGAGTCATCTGCGATTTTGTAAAGTATTCTGCCTGCCGTTCTTCTTCAAACTGCCAACCTTTCCAAAACATTGAAGGACATTTTAATAACATATTGTTCTTCTGAATGCCTCAAAGTTTTTGATTCATACAAACCAATCATTCTCTACAATTGGGTGAGTCTAGAGCGTTTTCACGAAAGTGACCTTCTTCAGCACTAGGTTTACAGAGTATAGATTCCAGAAATGGGCGGTTTTTGTGTGAAGGTATGGAAATTCGCCAATTTCCCATAGTTTTTTGAGTATGTGCTGATAATGATGGCACAACTGTCAATCAAAAGCGCATTTTTTACTAAAAAAAAACATAAACATATAACAACGATAAGCACGCTCAAATAGACGCGTTCGCTCGCGTTCCCGTCAGTGCTGATAACGATGTCCATCCACAGCACATTTTTTACTATTAGCTTGCTACACCCAGCTCCACCAATGTATTGGCTTTTATGGGTCACCGGTTCAAGTGCTTTTTAGAGCCGGGAAGCAAAGAAGCCCTAATAAGCTGTATACCATTCGAAAGCTGAGATCATGGAGAATCGAAACTGTCGCCTTTTTTCAAGGTCTTCTGTTTCGCGAGATATGAGGGATTTTATAAACTTCAAAAATCAACTAATTTTGTGTCCTCTTTACTGTCGCAATATACCCGAAAGAGTTGTAACCTTGAACAAAGAAGTGTTGATTATATTACTAAAATAAGATTAAATAATTTTCGTGGAACTGTAACGCTCAGGGCCGTATTTTTGAATGCTCGGAAAGAGTTTGTGCTTGTAGATGCTTTTTTTTATAAATAAATAATATGAATAAACGTAAATACCGTTTCTTTTGTAAAGTTATGAGTGTATTTGTTTTTTGAGGTACTTAGTCTGCAAAACCTTTCAATAACGATTTTTATTTTATATTCTCAGAGTACAATACCAATCTCAGCCCAGGTGAAGGGGGTCATCCGGAGTTTGGCCTCAAGGTGAAGGGGGTAAGATCCATCACTCCCCCTATCGCAACTATGATTGTAAATCTAATGGCGAAGAAACCAATTGCGTAGGACGATTATCAAGATTTTAGGAAAATATTTGAGAAATTTCTGCTCAGAAATGTAGCTCAAAAAGTCAATGATTTTAATGATGTCCAGCCAAAACAAGTTTGACGAACCATTAGAATTGTTCTTCCGCAGAAAATTGCTTGCAGGATTAACGACCTCAAGTAAGATAAAGGTCTTGGAAGTGGTTGTTTCAAGCCAGTCGTTATGGTCAGCTTGTGTGGTAGCACAACGAACATTTGGAGCGTAAAACGATTTTAGTACGGGAACCTCTGCAAAGCAAAGGTTCCCGTACTAAAATTCATATGATAAGTATTTTATAGGCCGCATGCCTGAACACGCAAGTGGCAATGAAGACATCAGTTGAAAAAAGCTTTAAATCCTGCTCTAGATCTGAGCTTTCGATCGTTTCTCTATTTTTAAGTATTATTACTATTCATTAAGATAGCAATAATTAACAAAAGCGTATCGTTAAAGGCAGCGTCCAGGCAAATCTGGGCATATGGGTTTTTTGCCTGGAAACTGTGAGGAGGTTTCGCTAAGGCATCCCCCAAACCGCAGCGCAAATATTAGGGTGATCGGTAAAAAATGAGGCAGCTTGATTTTTATTACATTTTGAGATTTTCTGTTCTCACCAACAACTAGCAGGCTGCAACTCAAACGTCGCTTACATAACCGACCTTCGCCTATTATTCTGGCAACGCGTTACCGCTCCTCTCTCATTACCGTAGGCGTGGCGCCGTGAAAAACTCAGACAGGGTTTTTGGAACAGTTCTCAACCCTGCGCTGCTATACAGTAAAGTCATACACCAAGTGACATACCATTCGAAAGAGCTCTTTATGCTCTTTCAAAAATATGTTAAATGCATGAGATTTCTTGTTAATTTTAAAAAAATGCGAAAAAATCTGAAAAATAGCCATTTTCTGGCGCAATAAAAAACCAAAAAAACCATGTTTTGCACCATAATTTTGCAAAATAGATAAAATCTGAGGTATCCTGCATATGGATGCAAAGAGCGTAAAAGCTCTATCAGATGGTGCCTACAAAACATGTGTTCACCTGCAAAGAATTGAATAACGCGCATTTTTGTTCTCGAAGTTGTTAATGGCCATATCTCCTGACTTTGAAAGTTGAGGCCATCAAGCCGTCGTGGATTTAGTGACAGTTCCACCACCCACTCCAGCAGTGGTACTTTGGGTGGTCTCACATGTTTCACTGCGCAGATACTGCTCAAAGTTCAGAATTTATAGAAGTGACTAACTTTGCATTTTAGCAAGTATAAAAATTGTAAATTGTAAATGACCTTATATAGATATTGTTTGAAAAAGAATAACATATTCTAACATCTACCAAAATTGGAAGGTCTAATCACTTCTCTTTCTTGAGAAACTTCCAGTTATTTCGTAAGTGCCCCATTTTTTACCGATCACCCTAATAATTCATTTACGGCTGAGAAACCTATCCCCAAACGCCCCGCAGCTGCGCCGTGACCGTAAGAATCAGGATAGGTCCCAGCGCGAACGTAGTGTTGAAGTGAGCAAAATCGTATTCGGGTTACGGTTATGGCGCAGGCGCGGGGTTTTTGGGAATGGATTTCTCAGCCGTGAGTGGACAATTTGCGCTGTCCCTTAGGCAGCGTCCTAGTTAGGACTCCCTCATCAAATTCCAGGCAAAAAACCTATGTTATGCTCTCAAATTTGCCTGGACACTGCCTCTAACAAGGGAAGTTCACTTAGTCGAAGTGGCGATTCGGAAGGAGATCTGTACCAATGGATATAGCTTAAAACGATTCTCAGATATATCTTCTATATCTGCGACGCGTTGTTCTGAAAAAAGTTATG